CTGTCTTGATGGAGGTTTTTGATGAATGGACATTCTTAGCTTTAATAAAGTACACGTACCAATCTTTTTTTATGGTGAATGCTCCTTTTTGGTCCTGTTTAAGAAATATTTGCCCACCCAGGCCGGAAGCAGTGGCTCACACCTGTGATCCCAGCACTTTGGGAGGCCGAGGAAGGTGGGTCACAAGGTCAAGAGATTGAGACCGTCCTGGCCAAGATGGTGAAACCCCATCTCTACTAAAAATACAAAATTAGCCGGGCGTGGTGGCTCAGGCCTGTAATCCCAGCTACTCAGGAGGCTGAGGCAGGAGAATCGTTTGAACCTGGGAGGCGGAGGTTGTAGTGAGCTGAGATGGTACCACTGCATTCCAGCCTGGCGACAGAGTGAGACTCCGTCTTAAAAAAAGAAAAAAGAAATATTTGCCCACCCAATGTCACTTAGATATTCTCCTACATTAACTTCTAAATGAGATTGTTTAATCTTTCATATTCAAGTTTCATTCTTGTGCATAAAGCAGGGGTTAGAGAAAGTCACTCTTTTCAGGAAGGTGTGGTTTTTGTTTTGCGGGATTTTTTTTTTTTTTTTTTGAGACAGGGTCTCACTCTGTTGCCCACGCTGGAGTGCAATGGTGCAATCATAGCTCACTGCAGCCTCAACCTCCACAGGCTGAAATAGTCCTCTCTCCTCAGCCTCCCAAGTAGCTGGGGCCAGAGGCGTGCACCCCCACACCCAGCTAAGGTTTTATTTTTTTGTAGAGACTGAGTCTTGCTATGTTGCTCAGGCTGGTCTCAAACTCTTGAGTTCAATCAATCCTCCTGCCTCAGCCTCCCACAGTGCTGGGGTTACAGGTGTGAGCCACCTCGCCCAGCCTCAGGAAGATGTTCTTAACAAGCCCCTCCACGTGTTTCAAGGGTTCTTTGAAAGTGAAGCCCCATTGTAAGAAAGGGTTCAAGAGAGGAAATTCTCTGTTGAGATCCCAGGGAAGGAGTTTTGTCTTTCCACATCGAATGGCGGGGAGCACTTTTCTAGGGTGATCCAGGATGTGAAACTTCTAGGGTGGGGGAAGGGGAGAGGAAGGGAGGCAGTAAGTGAGGCAGGAGTCAGGCAGGGAGCCTTGTCACATTTCCATGTCTTCAGCATCCAAGATGGTGCCTGGCAAAAAGGATGTGGCCCCTGGTGCAATGTGGGGCTTTCTTGATTTGGGGAAGGGAAGCAGAAGCCACTTGCCCCCAGGAGAGAGGCCTGGCCAGCCTAAGGGGCTGCTTGACTCTTGTCTCCACTCAAGGGAACAGTGAAGCCCTGGCATGTTCAGGAAGCAGCAGAGAGCAGCAGCGTGGCTGGAAGGTGGATAAATGGGGTGTTCGGTTATATCATTTTTTTTTTTTGCTCGTCTGAAACATGTTGCCATATTAATTTGAAATAATAAATGAACTTGATATTTGTCCAATAGTCACATGGTGTTTGGATTGTCCCCTTTTCATTTAATCCAGAGCCCAGGGCCTTGGGGACACCTTCCTCCCTCCAGTACGGAGGAGGGTGTCCTCTCTCAAGTCACCTAGGGGGCTCCTGGGAGCCTCTCCAGATGGCAAGAAACTGCCAGGACCCCTGAGATGCTCCTAACCCACAGCATCAGCAGCCTGCGCCTGGAGCTGGCTAGAGGTGTGAGGGCTCACGTGCTAGGCCTGCTGAGTGTGGGGACATTCTGGGTCCTTGTCCTGGGTCTCCCCTCCTGACCTGCCTGCTCACCTCACTGACAGCTACGGAGTCTACAGGGACCATGGCCCCAGGCCCTGCTCACTCTGCTGGGGCACAGTGGGGAGCACTCTGGCTTCGTTTCCCTCCTGCCACCACACCTGGCTCAATGGGGGAGGAGGGAGTGCAGAGAACGGGGAGCCCATGGCATTGCACATTACTCCCCCAAGTCTAGCCTTGGGTACCTGCTTTCACACAGCCCCTCCTTTACACACCCCCAGCTCTTTGGGGCCAGATCACTAACCCATGTTACAGATGAGGAAACTGCAGCCCAGAGAGATGTAGCCACCTGCCCAAGGTCACACAGCAACTAAATGCAGAGAGGAGATTTGAGTTTCATGTCCCCACCTCTCCCCCATCTCTGGGCCACAGGCTACCCATCTTTAAAATAAAAAAGCCCAGGGCCGGGCGTGGTGGCTCATGTCTGTAATCCCAGCACTTTGGGAGGCCGAAGCAAGCGGATTACTTGAGGCCAGGAATTCGAGACCAGCCTGGCCAACATGGTGAAACCCTGCCTCTATTAAAAATACAGAAAATAGCTGGGTGTGGTGGCGGGCGCCTGTAATCCCAGCTACTCGGGAGGCTGAGGCATGAGAATCGCTTGAACCCGGGAGGCAGAGGCTGCAGTGAGCCGAGATCATGCCATTACACTCCAACCTGGGCAACGAGGGCGAAGCTCTGTCTCAAAAAAAATAAATAAATAAAAATAATAAAAATAAATTTTAAATGCCCAAATATCCTCAAAATAGTGCCCCCAGGAGAAACAAGCCTGATCACTCTTCTATCATCAAGTCCCCACTGACCACCGAGTCTGCCACGAGGAAGACAGAAGACAACACACTTGTGTTCACTGTGGACGTTAAAGCCAACAAGCACCAGATCCAACAGGCATGAAGAAGCTCTAGGACACGCGCGTGGCTGAGGCCAGCACCCTGACTCGGCCTGATGGAGAGAAGAAGCCGTGTGTTCCACTGACTCCTGATTACAATGCTCTGGACGTTACCAGCAAAACTGGGATCATCTTGGTTGGGTGCGGCAGCTCAGACCTGTAATCCCAGCACTTTGGAAGGCTGAGGCCGGCGTATCACCTGAGGTCAGGAGTTCGAGACCAGCCTGGCCAACATAGCAAAAACCCCTCTCTACTGAAAATACAAAAATTAGCCAGGCGTGATGGTGCATGCCTGTAATCCTGGCTACTCGGGAGGCTGAGGCAGGAGAATCCCTTGAACCCAGGAGGCAGAGATTGCAGTGAGTTGAGATCGTGCCATTGCACTCCGGCCTAAGCAACAGAGTGAAAACCTCAAAAAAAAAAATAAAAAAGTCGTGGTAATCATATGTGTATACATAAAGAGCGTGAGAATGCAGACATACAAAGCCACATATGTAAATAGCGTCTCAAGGACACCAAATGCTGGGAGGTGGCAGCTTCTTTTCAACAATAATTCTCTGTAAATCTATAGCTTACCATGAGAGGGCAGTCTTCTCGCTGTGCGGAGGGGCCATGGGATCTCAGCTGGGATGTCCAACCTGTGCCTCTCAGAGCCCCATGAAAGACGGAGGAGCAGAGGACTTGGGACCCCATTTTCCATGTAGGGCTGAGCAAGGAAGGGGCACCCCCTTCCCCTACCCCTTCCCCTCACACAGGCTCTTCACAGTCCCAGCTCCTGGTGGAGAAGGAGGCAGCGCCCCAGATATCTGCAGCCGCCCAGAGAAGTCTGGCCCTGTGAATTTCCAGGGCCACCCTGCCTGGCTCATCAGCTCCTGCTTCCCTGGGGAAGAGGGAGAGGGACCTGGGATGTGCTCTGGCCCCTGCCCGGGAAGGAAGGAGGGGTCAGGAAGTGAAGAGTGGGAGGGGGAAGCCCAACAACTGAGAAGGGGGGGCTTTTGGATGGAGTTCCCCGCAGGTTCAAGGCAAAACGAGGTGTCCACAAGGTAATGAGCTGTGCAGCTGGGGGCCCCACCTTAGCAGCATCAAGATGAAGAGAGTGTGGCCTAAAACCTTACCATTTCTAGGCCTATTTTCAGGTTGGCTTGGTTTTCCCTACAAACCCTGTTAAGCTCACTTTCAAAAAGCCCCACCTGGTCTCAGCCAGACCATACCTGCGGGAGATGGGTCTAGAAGTTGTGGGAGGCTTGGGGTGTCCGATCAAATGCAAAATCCCCAAAGGGGCCAGAGCTGGGCAGAGCCAGTGAGGTAAGCACCTCTCCCCTCCCTGTATCCCGGGGATCTCCACCACTATGCACCCTGACACCTATTACTCAAGGTGAGGCCCTGGGCTAGCCATATGGGCACCACCTGGGAACTTTCTCAAAATGCAGAACCCGAGACCTGCCTAAACTGGAATCTGCATTTTAACAAGAGCCCCAAGGAGTCTGAGATGCACTGGCCTAACAGAAGCTGAGCAGAAAAAAGTGCAAATGCTAGAACGGCTTTCCATAGCAAAAGTAATTCTAATAGCCAACAACTGCCAACACATTTTACAGGTGGGGAGACTGAGACACAAGGACATTGAGAAATCGGCCCGAAGTCACACAGCTGGGCAGTGTTAGAGCCAGGATTTGGCACATGCTCTGATCTGCCAGCTTCTGCTGCCTGGGGTGGGGGGCGCTGCAGTCCACGGGTCTGAGACCCCTGCTCCCACTCTCCTTGAGACTGACTGCTTTTTTTTTAAGACAGAATACTCGCTCTGTCACCCAGGCTGGCATGCAGTGGCGCGATCTTGGCTCACTGCAACCTCAACCTCCCAGGTTGAAGCAATTCTCCTGCCTCAGCCTCCCAAGTAGCTGAAATTACAGGCACCTGCCACCACACCTGGCTATTTTTTGTATTTTTAGCAGAGGCAGGGTTATACCATGTTGGCCAGGCTGGTCTCAAACTCCTGACCTCAAATGAGCCACCCACCTCAGCCTCCCAAAGTGCTGGGATGACAGGTGTGAGCCACCATGCCTGGCTGAGACTGACTGCTTTTTGAAACGCTTGCTTCTCCCTGGTCCCCAACCTATCACTAGTTCTGTCTATGTAACCTGCAGTTTTACCCCCAAATCTACCATCTCTTCCTCACCTTCCCACCATCTGGACTTGACAGTGGCCACCTGAGGGTCTCCTCTCATCCACCCCACCCCCCACCCAGCTCACAGTGCAGACACCAGACCAATCTTTTTAAAACACCATTGGCTGTCTTCCCCTCCAACCTGTTGAAGACTCTCAGGTGGCTTCCAACCCAGCTGTGAATAAAGCCCAAAGCCTTGTGTTTGCTTCGATAGCACATATACTAAAACTGGAACAATACAGAAATTAGCATGGCCCCTAAATAAGGATGATACGAAAACTTGTGAAACGGTCCATATTTTAAAAAAAAACAAACCCAAAGTCTTAACAGGACCCAAGAGGCCCTGCCCTCCTCGCCTGCCTGTGAAGCCCAGGGTGCTCTCTCCCACCAGCCTCTTTTTGCCACGGTAAACCCACAAGCACCCCACTCCCTGTGGCAGCCTGTGAGTGCTGTTCCCCTGCCCACCTCAGTCCCTGATTCCAGTGCACCCCCGTTCATCCTCGGGATCTCAATCGCGAGTGATGATTCCTCTAGGGAGCCCTCTCTGATCACCCGCATCCAGGTCACAAGCTGTGTGCCTACCGGAAGCCCTAGGGGACTCTCGGTTTCCTCGCTCAATAAGGGTGTTGGCAGAATTCAGTTCCTTGCGGTTTTAGGACTGAGGCCGTTTCTTTGCCGACAGCCAACTAAGGGGTGTTCCCTGCTTCTAGGGACTGTGATGTCCTTTGGCTCATGCCCCCTTACTCCGCCTGCAAAGCCGGCAATGGTGGGCTGAGTCCTTCTTGAATCACATCTCTCTCTTCGCCTCTAACATCTCTCTCTAACGCAGCCAGGAAGGAAGGGTTCTTTGCTTTTTTTTTTTTTTTTTAGGCAGAGTTTTACTCTTGTTGCCCAGGCTGGAGTTCAATGGTGCGATCTCAGCCCACTACAACCTCCACCTCCCAGGTTCAAGGGATTCTCCTGCCTCAGCCTCCCCAGTAGCTGGGATTGCAGGCATGTGCCACCATGCCTGGGTTATTTTGTATTTTCAGTAGAGATGGCATTTCTCCATGCTGGTCAGGCTGGTCTTGAACTCCCGACCTCAGGTGATCTGCCCACCTCAGCCTCCCAAAGTGCTGGGATTACAGGTGTGAGCCACCGTACCCGGCCAGGTTCTCTGCTTTTAAAGTCTCGTGTGATTAGATTGGGCCTGTCCTAATAATTCCAGGATAATCTCCCTGTCTCAAGATCCATAGTCACAGTTTCCAAGGATTAGAATGTGTGGACATTTGGCTGCGCACAGTGGTTCGTGCTTATAATCCCAGCTCTTTGTGGCATGCATCTGTAGTCGCAGCTACTCGGGAGGCTGAGAGGGGAGAATCACTTGAGCCGTGGTTGGGCCACTGTAGTCCAGCCTGGGTGACAGAGTGAGACCCTGTCACAAATTAACAAAATAGAATGCATGGACATTTTAGAGGACTGTGCGTCTGCTGCCACACTCCCACTCCTAAGCAACTGCTAGACTATCCCACCACACACCGGACTCGGCCACCTCCCAATTCTGTGGGACTCTGAACCTCTCTCTCCACACTGAGTGCTCACTTGACCTCCAGACCAAAAGACTACCTGAAACTAAAGGCATCTTCCTCCCCCTCTTTAAACACACCCACTGGTACACACCGTCCTTCCCTGGCCACGGTCAGCACCTCTTGTGGTTGTCCCACCTGCAAGCAGGTGCCGAGCTGAGCTTCCCCCAGTTCCTGCACAGCTGAGGAAGGGCGTGCAGGGATCCAGGCTGCCTGGCCTGAAGGGTGGAGATAAAACCCAAAGATAGTGGACACAGAAACAGCCACAGAGGATGGAGCCTGGAGTCCCTGGCTGAAAGGAACCTCAGGGACAGGCGAGCACGGGGAGACGATGTTTGTGTAAGAGTTGAAGAAAGAAGAAAACATGAAAAGTGGCTTAACAGTCAAAGATAGGTTTATTCTGGAGAATAAAGCTGAGAGGGGCTTCGGGCTGATTTCGGTCAGCAGCATTTTCTCTTACAGACCAAGGTATTTAAATGTTCTGGGAGGGGGAGTTTATCGCAGGCTAGGAATGTTTCTGTGTGGAGCAGAGTTTTACTGTGGGGTTGGAATGTCTCTGGTTGGATGGGGGTGTTTATCTTAGGGTTGGAATATTTCTGGTTGGAGATGTCATTGTGGTTTATGGTCATGCTGATATTAGCCATTGGGCTGATGTTTTGGGGCTGGATTTAGGCGGTTTCTAATCAAGGAGAACTTAATATAGGACGCTTGTCCAAGATGGTGACGCTCCTGCTCTGCCAGTTAGCAAGAATCATATCATTCTCACTAGGTGCCTACTGTCATGTGGGATGGAAGGAGAACGTGAGAAGGGATCTGTGGTCAGCAGAATTGCACCCACTAAAGATGACCACTTCCTAATCCCCAGGACCTAGGGTGATATATTGTGGGAAGTAGAAAATTTTTTTTAAAGTTTCCTTTCTTGTTAAAGAATAAGTGTGCTAATAACTTTGTTAAGCCCTATCCTGTGTAGCTGTTAGACATGCCATGCTTATAGGCACGTAGTACATTCTATGTCCTTGTACTTTAATCAAGATATCTGTGCTGGACGTGGCTGTGACATGCTCACAGGCATGTCCCAGCTCTCCATTGCCTTTACTTGTTTTAAAAAGTGTTAAGTTGTCAGCCAATCGGGTTTCAGTTTAGATTGTGAGGTCTGTCTCCAGCCAACGGAGATCAGACACAGCAGTAAGGACGACCCCAAATGCGTAAGGAATAAATTTGTCTGTTTTCCTTTGTACTCTTGTGGCATGATGGCTAGCAAGGGTACCCTTCCTGCAGTCCAGGAGTAAAAACTGCATTGCTGAAAGATCCTTTGTCCCAGTACTAATTTTTCTTTGTGACATCTAGCATCTATTTCCAACATATATTCATATATGTGCTCGTATATGTCACCTTACATGGCAAAGGGGAATCAGGGCAGTAGATGGCATTGAGGTTGTGAACCCACTGACTTTGAGATTCTTCTGGATTATCCAGCTGGGCCCAGTGCAGTTTAAGGGAACTTAAAAATGCAAGAGAGAGGCAGACGAGAGAGTCAGAAAAAGAGATGAGATGAGCACAGAAGCTCTTCACTGTCATTTCCCAGATAGTGGTTTTTTTTTTTTTTTTTTTTTTTTT